TGGAGTACAACATTAGTTGCGCAATGTTACTGTAAGGGTTAACACAGTGCGGAGCTGGAGGAACACAGCAGGCCAGGCAGCATCAGAGGAGCAGGAAAGTTGATGTTTTGAGTCAGGATCCTTCTTCAGAAATCTGAAGAAGGATCCCGACCCGAAACGTCAGCTTTCCTGCTCCTCTGATGCTGCTTGGCCGGCTGTGTTCCTCCAATTCCACACTGTTATCTCAGACTCCACCATCGACAGTTCTTACTATCTGTCTTTACTGTATGGGTGCCCTCTTACGAGAAACAGGTACAAAACAGCATGGTTAAAGACCATCCTCAGATGCTGGCATGGCTTCTGGGGATAGCAAAGGCATTCCTGGCTATTATCCAGTTGAATGCCCGCCTGATGATAGTAGGAGCAATCAAACTCAATAGACAACGCGATGGAGCTACAATTCCTGCAAATAGTGCTGAATTCAGAGCAGAGGTCTTGAGGGAATCCTCCATCCATTCCAGCACAAACTCTCTGGGCCAGAATGGACCCCTTTGGTGCTGTTGTGATATTGGATATCTGCTGGTCTCGTCCCCAGTTCGTGTTGGGAACGAAAGTGAATCTTTGCACTATTCCTTTTCAAACCGAAAGAAGCTTCTCTGTGTATGAACAGGGCAAGAGCGCTGACAGAGTCATCCCATCTCACTGCTGCTGCAGATCAAGAAGTCAGCTCACCACCATCTTCTCAAGGGCAACTAGGGAGGGGCAGTAAACGCTGGCCCAGCCAGTGACACTCACATCTCACGAATAAATACATAAAAATAACAAAAATTAATTGAGTAGAAGAGGATGGTCTCTGCTGTTGTACAAGTGCAAGCCACATATTGGGTCAAGACATAGTAACATCAACACATATTGAAATGGCTCAAAATAAAATACCAAGTGGTCCAAATTTGCTATTTTTGTTCCAGTTTTGGTATAACTGTAGGTTCCACACTGCTACGGCATTTTTGAGATGAATTGCCACGGTGGAAATTCATTAGAAATATCAGTGCAGTGTGTAATTTATGGAAACTGTTTGCAATGTTACAAAACAACTTAAACAGGCACACTCTCACACACACACACACACTCACACACACACACACAC